TGATCCTCTGCTCAAGGAATATGCAAAGAATTGGCATTAGCCAGACTAGACCTCTTGTTCAGGGCTGACTAATGACACTGCAGAAGGTGGAGTTACTCCTCCAGCAGGTAGCCCTAAAAAATCTCTGTATGTGCAGGATTTCATATTGAAACACTGCACCTACAGACACCCTCCACCATGACCACTTCAAATTACTAAAGTAATCCTTTAAATTACCCAATAGCTTAATTGATATTTTGTCATGGGTATAACTATATGCAGCCTGCTCTGTTTCCAAAGAAACGCTTGACAAGATATCCCATTAACTCAGATGAGGATCTCAGTCTCCAAATGGTTCCTGCATAAGGAATCAAGCTTAAGGATTTACAGGTCCCTAATATCTCCCTCATTAGCCCTTTGGAACATGGAGACAACTGCAGCACATAATGTTTTGCTATGCTGGTTTATACAATCTAGCACTAAATACACAACAGTGACCAGTCGCTATTTTCTAATTGAGGAAGTACTGGATTATATTTATAAATAAATAGATTTTCTAAGGCAAGAGAGTTGCATACATTGACTGTGTCCACAGTCCATATAACCACAGTTCTTTAATTTATATGCCATTTATCACCAACCGGTCTCCAAAGATATCTACATCAAAAAGTACTATGTAAAAATACATATATCTTATAGTATATGAAATATACATATATATAACTTCAGCTTTCATTTTTAACATACTTGAATAACTTCAGTTGTTTTTAAAGTTTGCACTCTAATGCAGTGTGCTTAGTGAATCGAGATATCTACCAAATGTATATGCAAATATTGACAAGCAAACCAAGTTACAGTGATTGTGAATGCATCATTACATTAGAATGTCTGTATAAAGGAGGTGTCAAATTACTGAGTGAATTTGAATTCCTTTATCATTTTTTTTGTCGGTGCCTAAAAGTTAAACTCTTATGTCACACCTTTTCATTCCCCCCAATCTGTGAATTTATTCAGTTTTTAGTTTACTTTTTGCCTTATCTGTTTCATCTATTTGCCATTCTGTTTAATAACATTTCACATATGGTTATATCCACAATCAGTACACAAAGCCTGACACACAGGTCTAAACTTCAACCCTTATACCCATGCATTTTTCCTGTAAAACTGCCTCTTAATTAAGTTCTATGTGGGGAAAGACTAAGGACTGCTAAAATGGAATGGGCCTCTAGAAGTATTTGATGATAACACATATTTATAGTACATAAAGTGATGCAGAAACATGTGCAGTGTAGAAGATGGGAATGCCAAAATATTGCTGTAGTACTTTAAGAAATACAAAGTAAAAAATGTAATATCAGTTACTAAAAATTCAGCTGACACTGATGTAGATGTGACGTTTCAGTTAGAAACAAATAGCCATTCTCAATGTTCTAAAATCTGAGCAGTTTACCTAAAAAATGTCCTTTGTTTCCATGATCATTGGTTCACATTAAGAGGTTTGTCCAAATGCTTCTAATACATAATTTATTTATTTTTTTGAGACAAAAGGTGCCATATAGACATTCTAGAGTAATTAAGCATTTGCATTAGCTCTTGCCATGGCTGATTTAAGATAAATTTAGAATAATGTTACTTGGTTTGTCTTTACATATCTGTATGTATCTCTGGGCATGTGTGTATATTTGTGAACGTCTATGGATGGAAAAATATGCCTACGGTTTACTAGCCCATCCAGCTGTAGAATTTGTACAACTTTTTAAAGCAGTCTATTTCCATAACAAGTTAATTACAAAACTAAAGTTCACTCGTTATGCAAAAAACAAAAACACCACTACCACAGATCTGCCATGTTTATGTGGTCTGCCTGTATAAATTTATTTTTCAGTTCCATGTTCAGTGAAAAAAAGAGAGGAGAAATCCTTTTTTGGTGTACAAAACCACTTTCCAATATTGCGTTGCAACCCCTATTGCAATCAGGACAGCGTTAATGAATTTGTTTTTAGACCTAGATGTCAGAAATGTACCACACAGATCTAGGATGTTATATAATGTTAAATGGACATGTGAGGCTGTAGTACACTCATTCTTTATTATGCATTGCATAAATAATGTAAAATAATTGAAAATACATACTCTCAATTTTTAATCTCCACATTCTATACCAAACCCTGCTCTTCGTAGCTTTTAAATAGAGTTCTTGCCAAGCTTCAAAGTAAAGTCAGTAGCATTCCCTTACATTTCTATACTACTGCTGATTTATTTCTTGACAATTGTCAGTGGGGGAACCACAAGTGGCTCTTGGTATAGTTCCGTTGTCCGTTTTCGATTCTATTCATGACGTAAAGCTGTATTTTTGGAGCAAAAAGTTAAAGCATGGACTTTTTTTTAATCATTTCTATTAAACAATTTATTTAAAAAAAAACAAAAAAAACTGCAAACTGTGGGTGCCTGAGTGTCCCTTTAATGATGAAATCTCTTTAGAAAATCATGAACATAAAATAATGATCAGGAGAAATTATATTATATGAAATGTCTGGGGATTTTTATAACTGTAGACAACATTATTAGGTTTGTCATCCTACAGCTTAACTTAACTCATGCATTAAATATTTACAGCCTTAAAGGAACACTATACTGTTATGAATACAAAACTGTATTCCCAACACTACAGTGTCTCTCTGACGTTGCAGCTGTTCCCCCACCTCAGTCATGAAAAGGTCAAAAACCCTTTCATTCGCTTACCAGATTCCAGCACTGATGTCTCTTGGCAATGTATCAGGAACCACCTCCTGTGATGTTGGCGATTGGACCTATGGTTTTTCATGACACTTGATGTCCTCATGCAAAGCGTTATGGCGTCCAGCGTTGTTTCACAGAGTAAAACTTAGTGAACCACCAGAAAGCATCTCTAGTGGCTGTCTGAAAGACTGCCACTAGAGATCAAGTTAACCCTGCAATATAATTATTGCAATTTCTCAGGAACTAAAATAATTCACATTGCAGTGTTAAGGGGAAAGAGGCACAGACCACTTAAATGAGCTGAAGTGGCATGGGTGCCTGTAGTGTTCCTTTAATTTAGTGGAAAATGGGGGAGGTCCTGGACAAAACTATCTTGACTTACCCAGAAAACTTTCTAGCATTGAGAACTATATGCAGAGTATTCCAGGGCCAATCTGAAATATGTAAATTAATGAAATCATGAGGCACTCTGCTATATGTAACAATTTCCCACTTAGAAAGTTAACACAATAGTCTGAAATGATTGTCCATTATTTGGACTGAGAGCAATGGCTGCAATTTAAACACCTGCAAGTATGATCCTCATCACAGTGTACTAAAACATTTTACATACACACATACAACTTTGCTGTGTGTCTTACATTAACAACTGAGGTTTTACTTTTTTATGTAGAAAACACATTTTTAAATTCACTAATGGAAAGCCGAGATAACCAGGACATGGCTAAAACATTTACTTAGGCCAAAGTACGCCCCAAAGCAACACACAACACAATTAATACAACTGCAAATGAGCATGAAACACATTGCTGAGCAATGGCGGTTAAGGGGTTCTTTATTCGCCTATTTAGTAAAAGTGCTTCAGTTCATGTGTGGTGTTCATAGACCTTTACAAAACACCTGTAAGTTTGTGAAACTGGTGCTGTTTCTGTAGATGTGAGGTAGTATGTAAGATGTGTCCTTGTTTTGCTACTCAGGTACAATTCTTGCGTTAATCTCTATATCTAAACGTATATAGAATGCCATACGTGCCCCTGGCTCTCGGGGATTATAGGTGCATTATTTCTGCACCGTTTCACCCTTCCACTGCCAGAGATCTGCAGAGCAATTGACTCTGGAAGTGGGTGGGTTAAAGGCCTTGTTCTTTTTACCCTTGTGACACCAAAATAATGTTCTGTGCCTTTTATTTTTGTTAATCCTGTAACATTAAACTCTGTTACCAAGTAAATAATGTCTCCTTTGGGTTCTTTCCTCACCTCTTCCCCCAACAAAAAATGGAAAGTAATTAGAATGAATAATGCTTTAGAAGTAAGGTATAACTTTTAAAATGTGTTGTGTAAATTTTAGTGTATGCAGGTATTTGATATTATAATGTGTTGCCGGCAATTGTTAATCTGCATTTCCAGCAGACTACAGTTCAGATAACATGCATGATAGCCAGGGTTATTTTGTGAAGTGTTAATTTTCATATCAACATTTAGGCCAAAACAGCAGAGTGGTCGGCTATATATTCAGTTCTGTTGTTTGGGTCCAAAAGTAGAAAAAATTTATTCTGAATTCTCTGTTTATCTGTTTTGTCACCTGATATCATAATTCATTTTAAGGCAGCAGCCAGGGTCTACCTGGATCTCTGGGTAGGGGAGGACAAGTTATAATTATTTCAGGCGAAATACAGGACTGCCAGATCCCTGGAAGGCTCACCACCCAGGAGTGATTATTTTATCCAGCACCTACTCCAGAACTGATTGTTTTTTTTTGTTTGTTTTTATATTAACCCACTCCCAGGGGATGATGCAATGGGTTGGATCCACAGAGATCAAATTGATCTCATGTTCTGACCACCCTGACATTGCAATCACGGCCAGGCTCCCAATCACAGTGGAGATGGAAGTTAACTCCATTCTTGAGGACAAAGCAGTAGTAGATCAGATCAAACCGAAACTAAAAGATTATTTCACAATCAACCTTACCCAGGGTAGATCATCAGCCATGGTGATGACTGCCCACAAGGCAAGTCATTTGTGGATCTTTTATCTCAATAGCTACTCATTTTAAGAAAATAGATTTTTCAATCTTCAGAGAGCTCTCCATAGAGCAGAATACCAACACAAACAAAACCACACCCCAGAGAAACTACAGGAACTTTGTGCCATAAGACATCTGCTGATGGAGGAGGACCTCGGGAAGGTGAGCAGAGACTTTGTACGATCCAAAATATTTTTCTAAGAAAAGTCAAACAAAATGGACACACTACTGGTAAGAGTGCTCAAGCCTAAACACAAGGCTACTCTAATTGCAGCCATTAAGTACAAGGAAGGCAAACTAAGCAACAACCCCTAAGAAACTAACAGGATATACACAGATTTATTTTCAGCTTTATACAACCATTCCAATCACCTACAATGGCTCAAATGAGGTTTACACGGAGGCCATCTGAGTATTCCTGGAGATGCCCAGATTGAATGATGAGCAACTGCACTCACTAGGTGCCTTGATAAACAAGGAGGAAATTAATTTGGCTATCACAGGCCTAAGGGCTAACAAAGGGCCAGGCCCGGATGGGTTTGATGGCACTTATTATAAGGCATGTAGAAATGAACGGATTCCCCACCTGGAGTCGATGTTTGTAGAACTCATAGAAGGGGAAACTCCAACACCTGAAATACAATTGGCCAATGTTCTCATACCAAAGCCTGGCAGTGACCCGATGGTGAAGCTAATTACAGACCCATTCCCTTTATACATTTTTATATGAAGATATTGGCTTCCAGGCTTAACCCGCAGCCAATGGCCACATCCCTACCATGTGAGGTTCATCCATTACAAACAACTGTATGAGTACATGCGGTTGGGTGGATCAGATGTGGCAGGCGGTAAAAAAAAAAAAAAAGCTTTCTCTGGATACAAAGAAGGCGTTAGATAGGCTTCAATGGCCTTAGCGCAGTTAAGGTTTTATACACTAATCCTAGAGGACAGATTGTGCTCCCAGGAGCTACACCCTTTGTTATAGGTAACGGCACCCACCATGGCTGCCCTCTGTCACCCTTCCTTTTCGTTCTAGCTATTAAACCACTATTACATTTAATTAGACTTTGCCCAGACAGAGAGGGAATTACACTTGCCAACAGAGAATTCAAAGTCTTGGCTTATGCAGACTATGTCCTGCTCACACTTACCAATATATTACAACTACTAAATGTATTCAGCTATATCTTGGGCTTAAAATGAAACCTAGATAAGTCAACTGCAATACCTCTAAATGTGCCTTAAAATTACACAGACCTTTATTAAGTGGGAGTTAAACTGACAGCGGACACGAAGACCCTCTACCACTGCAATTTTTCAGCCTTAATAAAAGTTCAAATGAACAATTTAGACAGATGGTATATGAAGCCTATTTCTTGAATTAGCAGATTACACTCAATTAAAATTAATATGTTACCATGAATTATCTTCATGTTTAAAGCCCTCCCCATAAAGGTAACCAAAAAGATTTAGTGCACTTGCAATTAGCGATTGATCATTTAATTTGGGCACACAAATGCCATAAACTGTCCAGACAATTACTATACTGACCTAAAGCAAAAGGTGGACTCTGTCTACCAAACCTATATCTCTATTATCTATCGGCCCAATTAACGCATATTATGTAGCATTCGCCACATTATACCTTTTATCTGAGAGCCTCCATTTTGTTTTGCTCACTGTCAGTCATTGTTATAAACTCTCTCCTTTGCACATGGCATTCAGCATAGAGAAAGCCTGGAAAGAGCAGAAATTGAACATTGTTTCTATTGCTGGACTTGTTTGTAGGGTTTAAGGCAAGCAAAAAAGGAAATCTCCAGGCACTCAAGGTTTTCAAGCCGCAGGCAGATTTAATGGTACAAAAAAAATAAAAGCAACGTTTCAACCTGCTTAGAGGTTTTTAAAAAGCAAGCTTGATGAAGACCTCTTAGCAGGTCTAAATGTTGCTTTTTCTTTTTTTTTTGTACAATTAAATCTGCCTGCTATGTAACTGTGTACTATTAACATGACGTAAAGTCATGATTTTATTAATAACATGGAGGCGACTTATGCTTTTCTTTCTTTATTTCCCTCCGCAGCAAAGAAAAGAAGAGAAATCCATATGGAAAATTAAACAAACTGCCTAGATGCACTAGAACCAATCACAACAACGTATTCTCCAGGAAAGGTGTGACTCCAGCTAACTCCTCTTTCTTTGAATACCAGGACATCATCATTGGAACAAAAAAAAATCCACCAACCTGATTCTAACAAATTATTCAACCATAAAAATGCCAATGAAAATGATGATTCAACCTTGAAAAATATGGTAGTATCTTGTATCCAGAACATATAAATAACAATTTCATAACGAAAATGCAAATCAATGCAATAACTCAAGTCAATATAACAATTCAGCGGAAAAGATATCAAGACACCCCTACTTACCATGAAAAATGAAAAATCGCCTATGGACATTACGAAAAAATAGGGGTGGGAGGGAGTGATACTCTCTTCAGTCTCATTAAGAAAATCATGACTTAACATCTTGTTAATAGTAAAATCTAGGAATTTTATGAAAGACATCGATGCTCCTCTGCTAGTTCAAAGCCGAGCAATATAGTGATTTGAGAATTCATCCATAGGACGAAAATAGAAATTTTGAAAAGGTGATTCAGCTGACCATATATATGATCTGAATAAGAGGAGAAGGGAAAAGACATTAGCACTTGAGCCAGCAGAGCTGCTGACTGATGATGAAGGGCACGGCCCCTCAAGTCACTCCCTCCTCAGTGTTCCTGTCACAGTATTACATATTAATAATGCCTGTTTTAATTTGAGAATATATGAGCATTATTTTAACATGCTGCATTTAGGTAAGTTACAGTTAAAATAAAATGTTATAGAAGACAATTCTCAACAATTTTCCAAAGAGAATGTAAGTACTGTAATTTCCAGATTTTACTATTAACATGACGTAAAGTCATGATTTTATTAATGACACGGAGGCGAGTATTCTGCATTCTCTTTCTGTTTATTTCCCTCAGCTGCAAAGAATGAGAGAAAAAGCTTTTAACTTAAAAACGTGTAATACAATAAACTGCCTAGGAACAGGGCAGCCAATCAACAGAGAGTATAGTCTATAAAAGTAGTGGTCCAATCAGTGAACTTCCTCTTTCTTGAGTTCCGCAACCGAAGACCAGGATATCCTGAACTAAACCGATACTCTCCTCCGTGTCATTAATAAAATCATGACTTTACGTCATGTTAATAGTAAAATCTGGGAATTTTATTAATGACATGGAGGCTCATATTATGCAGGTTCAAAGCTGGGCTATCACCCGAAAGGAAATATGCTCAATCGGACGGAAACAGAAAGTCCTTAGACCAGTCTGCAGCTTTCATAATATCCTCCAGTCCGCAACCCACGACAGAAGCTTTGGAAGCCATAGCGCCCTGACTGAGTGTGCTGAAAACAGGGATGTATCCATTCCCGCCAGTACGTCACATATCTATAAATGGTAAACACCGGGAGATGTGGTTTCAGAAATGAAATGAAGAGCTGGTGATGTCCATGGGGACGAATGGAGCATGTTTGTTCCAAATAGAATTTCACACACAGATCTGGGCACAATGAAGGCTTATCTGGAAATTCTGGATAAAGTACAGATTTAGTAGAAGACTTCGTCCTACGAGTAATGTCGAAAGACGTTCCCTCGGGAAGGAAAACCAGAGCATCCCAATCCAACGCTCTTGCATCCGACACACACTTGCATGATATCAGGCAGAGTAGCATGAGTAACTTTAATGAGTGTTTTTAAGAGATAACGTACTATCTGAAAACCAAGATTCCAGCAGAGGTAACACCAAACTGACGTCCCAGAATGAGGTATATCTTGACCGAGGAGGTCTTGAAAACTTTATTCCTTTTAATAATCTACAGACTAGCAGGTGTCTGCCGATAAGGGATCCATCAATGCCAATGTCCAGCAGACATCACAGATTGGAAAACATTCACCGTCCTGTAAGCATTTCCTGCATCGAAGATTGAAGTCAGGAATTGAAGAACCATATTCAGAGGGGCAGTAGCTGGATCCAGTGATCGTTCCAAGCACCAGCTAGCCCACGATCGCCATGCAGTCCGGTAGGCGATATTGTGCCTGGGGCCCAAGCGTTCTTGATGAGTCTGAGAGTAGACTGTGGAACGCCAGGGATAGTCCAGGTACTCCTGAAACCAACCAAGCCATGGGTTGGAGATGACCTTGACCCACCAACTCATGCAACTTTCCATTCGGGTCTGTTAGGAGCCAAGGCATGGTCGGGATTAAACGTGAGAAATCCAGACACCTCTCCAAAAGGAGCAGGAACCATGGCTGAGTTTTCCATAACAGTGTGACGATCACCAGAGAGCACCTGTGCTTACATATGTATGTCAGGGTCTGCGGAATCCGGTTAAATGGTGGAAACGCATAGAGCCGCTTGTCTGGCGATATCTGCAGAAATGTGTCCACCCCCAGTGCGTTCGGATCCGGTCTCCAGCCGTAATAACGAGGTAGCTGGGAGTTCAGTCTGACGACAAATAGATCGATATCCAGTGGGCCCCACAGGCGCTATGCCAGTCTTCTGCGTCCCGAAGATCTCAAATTCCAGTCCGCCCATGAGTTGTCCAATCCTGAAATATGTTCCGCTGTGACCAAAAGATTGTTGAGAAGGCAAAACTGCCAGAAGTCTTTCGCCAGGTTGGCCAATAGTTTCAACTTCGTGCTCCCTAAACAATTAATATAGCTCACTGCCGACACGTCCATCTTGAGCAGGATGCAGCATTTCTTCTGTTTAGGCGCCACGCTGTGGATGGCAAAGGAACTCGCTAGCAATTCGAGTGCGTTGATGTGCATCGAAGATTACTCCGCGAACCATCTGCCTCCGGTTATGATATTGCCGCAACGCACACCCCAGCCATGTGAACTGGCACCTAACTCGATAGCCATGTTGGGTGTAGTCCCAAAGATTGCCTGGCCACTCCATGCCTCCATGTGGGCAAGCCACCATTCCAATTCCTCCCGAGCTTTGGAATCTAGAGTGAGGCGCGACTCTTAAGAGTGGTCTGACCTCAGAGAAGAACCTTTGACCCTCTGAAGTGCTCGATAGTGAAGTGGCCCTGGGAATATCGCCTGGATAGAAGAAGTGAGTAGTCCTATCATCCTCGCTAGCTGTCGTACCAACAATTCCCAATCTCGAAGAGTATGTTTGATCTCTTTCCTCATGGTTCTGAGCTTGGTGTCTGGAAGGTAGAGGAACTGGGTGACCGAATCCCAGAAACTCTATCGCCTGAGTTTGGTGTAGAATAGACTTTTCTCAGTTGATGTGTGACTGACCGCCTGGCACCCCGACTGGGTACTTCCATCAATCACTACTTGCGAGTACCATAAGCACTGCTCTGGAACACCATAACTACTGAAAACCCCACGAACCGCCACAGCTTGGTTGGGATCTCGCCGTCTCCTACCCACCCTGGACCTATGAGCAGGATACCAGTTTCCAGTGGGTAGACCTCTTAGTCCAGAGAGCGTAGCAGGAACAAGCTCTTACAAGAGCTTAGTGATTACACTCAGGGGAGTATAGGGATTATAGCAATCCCCCAGAGTGTAGTTCTCCAGTCCCCCAAACACGAGCCGAAACTTCATGAAGGTGCAAGATCTGATCTTTAATTGTTCAGGTTGGCTTTTATACAATTCTCCAGGCCAGAGGAACACAAAGGACACAAACTAATCAGAACAAACATACAGTCTGTTACACGCCCATTTGTGAAAATTAGTTTTTTTCTGCTTGGGAGATAATGGAGCAAAGTCCTGTAAGTAACACTTATCTCCAGGCAGAAAAACCACCTTTTCACAAAGTTCAGAAAGTACCCTAAAACATAACATACCCCCAAAATACGTTACATCCCTGGATAGCCCTGATCTGGGTGTACAACATATCAGAGCAGGGGTTCAAAAATTTAATGGAAGTCTCTTTTTGACCGGCTACAAGCATAGATTCATGCCCAAAACAGTTCCAGTGAATTAGGGCCAGTAGTCGGTCTCTCTTTGTGGAGTACAAAAGTACTTACAGTACATGAATGGAGCCTTTCAAAGTCTATTGGGCAAGGTTTATTGCAGGGCCCATAGTCGCAGGGTAGGAGGCAAGCAAACAGGCCCCTCCAAAACCTCGTGGCAAACTCACAGAAATAGGGGAGTTTGTCAAAATGAGAACGCCCAGGTCTTGTAAAAGCTGTACCGTCCATTGCAGGTGGGTACGTAGACGATCTGGCGAGTGCGATATGAGGATGTCGTCCAGATAAATGATCAGACGTACCCCTCGTTTTCATAGGAATGACACCGCTGGTTTCATGAGTTTGGTGAAGCATCATGGAGCAGAAGAGAGTCCGAATGGAAGACAGGTAAACCTCCATCTCCTTCCACGCCATGTGAAAGGGAGTAGGTCCCTGTGCTCCACTGCGATAGGTACTGTCAAGTAAGCATCCTTCAAGTCCAATTTGGTCATCCAATCCGAGGGCAGATGGAGGTCTCTTAGACAGTGGATGCCCTTCATTTTGAAATGTTGGTACCTGACAAAAGTATACAGGGTCCGTAGGTTGATAACCAGTTGGACACCTCCGCCTTTCTTGGGAACCAAAAATAGATTGGTTGTAAATCCTTGGGAGTGGTACGGAACTTCTTGGATCACATTTCTTGCGAACAATTCTGCCACCTCAGAAGAGATCAGATCCTCTTGATCCCTGGTTAGCCAGGGTTCGTGAGGCTGGTGAACCTGAAATGGGGAAAAGAACGGATCGAGATGGAAGCCCCTGACAGTCTGCTGTACCCAAGCATCTGAAGATAGCGAATCCCAAGTCTGAGTAAACAGAGCTACTCTGCCCCCTACCCCTGTGGGGAAAGTATGGTGAAGCATGGTACTCACCGTATGGTCTGCGACTTGAGGGATATCCTCGGGTACCATGGGACGACCAGGATCTTCCATGTGATGCGAAGGGCGGTTGCTTGGTGTCCTGGAAGGCTTTATATGCATTGAAGGAACCTCTATTAACCCTCTGTGGACCTCTGTATCCACTGCCGGGTGGACGGCTCCTTGATCTCCCGGCCCAGTGAAAAACACGAGTGTTAAAGATCTGCTTAATGTTTTCCTGAGCCTTGTCCAAGGCTGTAAATGTCTTAACAATCGAGCCAAGGTCTTTGATAAATGACTCTCCGAAGAGCATACCTTTGGCTGAAAGGCCTGGCTCCTTAGCTGACATATCAATTAATTTGGGCTCTATCTTGATCAAAATGACCTTACGCCGTTCTGCCGACAAAGCCGTGTTTGCATTATCAAGAAGGCAGATTAACCTTTGCACCCATCCAATGGCCACATCAAAATTGAGCGATGTCTCTCTTGCCTTGGTGGACTCAAGTAGCTCATATAGCTTCACCGCTGGTCCTAGCGTTTCCAGGATCTTGACAGCTATGCAGGGAAAACTCCAGTCCCTTCCTAGGTTTCCAACCTGTTTTAGCCAAGAATTGTATGATTCCCAGGTCCACCGCATGATCTTACAGGCTGTATAAGGTACCGAAGGACGTGGGCATTCCGCCCGCAGCTTACTGTGCCCTTCTTTAGATAAGGGGGTGCGCATCCTAAGTGGTAAATATTGGGCTATGTGTTTTCAGGGGGACTCCCACTCCACCAAACATGGATGGCGAAGGTTGTCCAGGTCAAACAGGGGGTTACTCTGCGGATCTTGAAGTTCCAACTCCATCCCCGTCGGGGAAAGGGCTTCTCCTCAAGACACTGAGGCATCACCTAGGGTAGGGATCAAGTCCTGGGGTTCCCCAACCTCAGAATCTGCTTCCTCATAGGAGGAATATTCAAGGTCCTCTGACCCGGACCCCTCACGCTGGTCACTGTCCGACCCTTCCTCTCAAACCCGTGCTAGTTTCCATTTTGCCCAGTTAGTGGCTCTTTTACGCGGTATCCTGCCATCTGGGACCGCATAAAGCATGTGTCACATCATGCCATGTTCTGCGGAGATGTCTGGCTTTGGCTTCTGGTATCCAGTACTCTTTTTACAATTCTTGGTTAGTTTTTCTTGGTTTTCTGGTTTTCTATTCTATGTCTGGTTTTCTTTATGCTGGGTTTCTGGGTTCATTCTTATATTCCGTCCCTGGATTTCCCAGTCTCTTGGATTTATTTAAATGTTTGTTTTATGTTGCCACACCCGTTTATTTTCCTTTTGTTTGTCTGGACCTGCAGTAGTGTTTCAATTATCTGTCCTTTCTTGCAGGTAAGTGCTATTGTGGTTTAGTATGGTTCTTTTAGTGAACATTAGGCAGTGTAGGACGAATATGGGGTACATTGGCGTTGTGGCAGGCTTATGCAATGTATGATCATATAATGTAACTAAATCCCCATACTTTTCATATATAGTGCTTAGTTATGTCTCCTCTTGTTTTGCCTATTATATCTTGTCTTGTTTTATTTTGTAATCCCAGTTCATGTACAGTCTTGTCCTGCCCTGTTCTTGTTTTTCTCATGTCTTGTGTACATGTTCTGGGTTCTGCTTTCTGTCCTGCGCTGGTTCTGGGTTCTATTAGTTCTGTCTTGTTTTCATGTTTGGTGACTATTCTAGCCTTGCCTTGTTTCTGTACTGGATACATGTCTGCTGCAGAGCCCCCCTAACCAGTTCCTGGGAGGTCTGCATATCAAGCTCCTAGTTCCTGGGATCTGCTGTAGCTGCATCAGGGTTCTGGTATGTGGCCGCGCAAACGCTGGTGCTCAACACCAGAGGGCGTGTGGTTACCCTGCACCAGGCCCTGATAGTCCATTACCTCTCTGAAGACTCCCACTTCTCATCAGGCACTCAGGGGTCCCGGTTTCCATATCGCCACCCATGACAGCGTGTCAGTCAATTCAGGCAAAGCCTGATTCCTCGATTGAGGGGAGACGTTTCGTCTTGGTCGTGGCTTTGCGTGCCGTTAGCGCCAACTTATCTGCCGTGACCATAGTAGCAGGCGACCCCTGGGGTATAAACAAGGCTCGGGCCAGGGTCTGCGAAATAGAGGCGCCTGAGCCCCCCAATACCACCCTACCAATGCTATACTACTACCCATACTGAACCACAGTACGGGAGGGGGCTGAAAATCCTGCAACTCCGCGGTAGCACCGATCTTCAGATCTAGACCGGAGAAGGCCCAAGCGCCCTCTCAAGTAAAATCCCAGTCGGAATCTGACTCAAAAATGAGCAGCACAGCCCCATCAGACCGCACGGAGGCCCCTCTCACCCGCAGGGAAATGAGAGGCTTCCTGGCAGAGTTCTGAAAATCTGTGGCGGAAGAATTAGACAAACGAATGAGCCCCATCTTAGAAGGTATGGCAGACCTCACGGCTCGGACCCAAGCCATGAAGTCCAAAATGGAGGGAGTGTGGGAGTCTGTGCAGACCCACGAGGCTGACTTACATGACCTCCGGGAACAATTGCGAGCCCTCGAGGACTCCAACGAAGGACACACGCCTAACCAACATGGAAAAAGGCCCACTACCCACCGTGCAACAAAACCATAAATGTCACGCCTCCCCCCCTCCCTCCAATAATAGCCAGGAAAAGAAAATTACCGTAAGTATGAATACATTTTCCACTTTCCTGGCTAATCATAGCAGCATATACACATGGGGAATACCGAAGCTTACAAAGGGAGGGACAGAATAGCCAATCAAATTATCAGAATAATTCAACATAGATAGAAGAATGAACTGAGTTACGTACTTGAGTACCAAATTGTGCATCATAGACTGTTTTTTAACGAACAGTATGAAATGCCAGACAAACGTGTCTAAAGAGGTTCAAATGCTAGCTTACAAAAAGTGTCAGCAGAAACCATTGCCATGGCAACCCATGATGCTGCAACAGCATGAGAGGAGAGTGCCCTGATACCCTCCAGCACAGGTAGAGAATGGACGTGACGTCCAAATTGTGTCTCATTAATTGCTTCAATATCCTGTTGAAATTCAGTGAATGGGGGTACACAGGATCAAGCCTGGAGTTCACCCATTTCCCTTACTGAGGTACCAGCCACCAGCACTTTAAGTGCTTCCACCATGGAAGCTCCTTCTAGAGGTTCGAATAATGGTTCAGTCAGGGCCCGTGAGACCAGTGGTACGTCACATATTGGCTTCACCACACTCAGTGGAGGCATGATTTCAATCAATGCCTATATGAAGCAAAGTGCAGCTAAGTGCACACATTCACCCTGCTGAGGTACCAGTCACCAGCAACAGCAACGTCTGGGCTAACATCATGGAAGCTCCTGCTAGAAGTTCAGTCAGTCTGTGAGACCAGTGGTACGTCACATATTGGTTTCAACACCCTCAGCGGAGGCTTGAGTTCAATTGTTGCTTACATGAAGCAAAGCACCAGGGGCATCAACGCTCAATCTGTAGACTTCAGTACAGGTAGAGAATGACATAGATAAGCATTCACCATAGGCAGGATCTTCAGGTGCCAAATGCAAGATGGCCATATCTGTTGAAAAGTAGTGAAAGGGGGTTCACAGGATCAAGCCTGGAGTTCACCCATTTTCCTTGCTGGGGTACCAGCCACCAGCACTTTCTGTGCTACCACCATGGAAGCTCCTTCTAGAGGTTCGAATAATGGTTCAGTCAGGCCCGTGTGACCATTGGTACGTCACATATTGACTTCACCACACTCAGTGGAGGCATGCTTTCAATCAATGCCTATATGAAGCAAAGTGCAGCTAAGTGTTCCTCTAGAGTGTTATAACACAGAACTTTTCAAGGCCTGAACGAGGAGTAACTCCAACAGACAAAAGCATGTCAAGCTTAGTAAAGCCTGGATAGGATTGTAAGAGGATCTCCATGACCGTCTCAGGGATGCCTATACTAATATGGACTCCCGCATCAACACCAGAACTTGAGGATCCTGGTGTGTCATGGGGCCTTGTAATAGGTCTGGACGTACAGGAATTTCCCTTGGAGGTTCCATAATCATCTTCTTCATCATAGGAATTAGAGTCGACACGGTCTTCCACTGTCACCTTTTGCACTGCCTTTTTAAGAAGGTCGAAAACAGGAAAATATGTACATCAGACTAAAATTCTAAATTTGAGCCAGTGTATCCTGAACCTGAGCATTCTGGTCCTAGCATGTAAAAAATACTTCTGGACCTGGTAGTTCCAAGAAATGGCCATCAGATCTATGTAGGGTATCAGACAATCTGCGTCAACCACGAGGATACGTCAGGACATGGTTGTCAATCCACCTTGTCCACAGTTATTTGGCTCCAGCAAACAGCCATGATATTCTGAGCCACTGGTTGTTCTTCTGTGCCCTGATCATTATGGGCTGGAATTCCATCAATACGTATCTGTGAGACCCATCTTGGTAGATATAGGATACAGTTGCATTGATATTTGAGCAAATGCGGACCCACTTGTTCTTCAGCAAGCCTCTGGAGTGAAGAAGAGCCGTATTAGGCCCAATAAGGCACAAACTACACACATGTGGGCCTATTCCGAGTGTGTTTGCTGTTTAGAGACCAGGGAGAGGACTCTGTCTGAAGCCTACATGGCCCCTAAACACCCAGGGAACCGGGAATAAATCACTGGGACCGAGGGGGAAGAAAAATAGATAACAAAAGTGCCTGCAAGGAAGTTTAAAAGGCAACCACATGCAAAAAGTCAAAGTTTAAAGGCACCACAGTCTAAAGGCCTCAAGGTATAAAAGGTAACACAGTTTTTAAAATATATCAGTCTTCAAATGCACTGCAGTTTTCCAAATGTACTGCGGTTTCCAATGACTTGCGGTATTACATGCAACAGTATTAAATGCAAATTTAAATGAAACAGTTTTAAATGCAACACAGCTTAAATGCTTCCTAGCAAAAGCACAACCGCATAATGTACCACAATCTTAAAAATAAGGTACAGCTGTATAATGCACTAGTTTAAAGATATCAAAGCGTAAATGCATCACAGCATAAAAGCACAACTGCATAATGTACTACAGTAAAACAGCAAACAAAGTAATGAAGATAAAACAACATACATGTCCGTAAGCAAAGGGAGCAAATTGCTCACGTCCTAAGGGCTGTAGGACAGGAAAAAGACTAAGGACCTTAGGGATGGAGCCTCCTTTTAAAACCTTGGTGGTTTTACTGTCCTATCAGCTGTAGGGGAGGAGCTAACCCATGTGTATATGCTGCCATGATTAGCCAGGAAAGAAAGGTATTAAGGGATATAAGGTAAAGAAACCTGATAGAAGGAATTTTATAACATGACAGGAGGCTTCGTATTTGCTTAAGTCTCTTTTTACTAGAACTCCACAGCAGAACAGAAAACAACCAATCAGAAAAAAAGTTAGGTACTATAAAACTCCCCTCCCCATGCATCATTTCCTCTTTCTTTGCTGCTCCACAGTCAGTACAGGTCAGAGTACCACTGCCTCCTGCTTCTAGTGGGTGGCTTTGGGTTTTATTGCTTATATACTCAGTATTTTGTATTGTTCTAGTGAGATTTTATTGCTATATTTTCAGTATTTTAGATTGCCCTTGTGGGATTGTATTGCTATATATACTCAGTAATTTTTTGGTCCTGTGAGATTTAGTCTATTTTCAGTATTTAATATTGTCCTTGTGGGATCTTTCTTTCATATTCAGTATTTTATTTTACCCTTGTGTGAATTTTATACCTATATATTGAATATTTTATTCAGAATACTTTATTTTGACCTCGTAAGATTTTTCCTTACACATACAGTTTTGTTATAGTCCCTGTGGGACTTTCTTTATTACTTCTACTTCAGGCTATCACTGTTATTATCTATGCTTTGGATTTGTGGGGGGTCTTTGGGGTCCTTCTGTCCCCCCTGTCAGTTTCCCATCTCGTGTGTGTGTGTGTATATATTTATTTTTTTTCGCCTTTGTCCTTATGTCTGGCGGTGAGTGTGCTGTTTGGGGGCTTCAGGACGCTGATGGCATCTGCCTCCTTCTGATCCCCCGAGCTCCTGGACCACGGAGTTCTTCTCCAGTGGTCCCATGTGTTTGTTTTTTTTCAGCCGCGGGGGTACTCGCAAGCGAGCACGAGTACCCGGCGGCCAGATCTCTTTTCCCACGTGGCCTCTTCGCTGCGGCCGCCTCCGCCGGCGGACCGTGTGTGTCCGACCGGGCACGGGGGTGTGTGACCGCTCGCGGCCCCTCCCCCATGTATACCTTCTCGTTGGAGGTCTGTTGAAGGGCTTTCTCCCCCTCTGTGTATCAAGGCCGGATTCAGATCATGGCCTGAGCCTTTTTACAGCATATGAGGGCCCCGCCACCCTGCTCAGGGTTAATCTATAGCTCAGGATGACTTTATATATATATATATTTATTTATTTATTTGCTTGCTTGCTTGCTGGAGGCTAGGCTATAGACCGTACACCCTGTACTGCTCTGAGGTTCCTGCAGTTTGGATACCTCTGTCTTTGACCAAACATTACAGATCGGCCAGTTCCCTGTATAGTGTTATAGAATAGTCAGCACCAGTGGCTGAAACATCTATTATATTAGACTGGAGACATAATAGCACTTAATCCAGAGGTATTATGTGAAATACTGTTATAAACACATTCTACACTGCTAGTGGGTTTGGCATATTAAAGTTTCCACCCAAGTTTTCCCTATTTCATGGCACAAATATATAAGGGACTCTACCCACACAGATGGGCCTTGTGGCTGTCTGAACGCTACACACGTGTACGACTGGCTCTGTCTGTGCCCCGTTGATTGGCCTGCTATGTCTGTGCCCCGTTGATTGGCCTGCTATGTCTGTGCCCCGTTGATTGGCCTGCTATGTCTGTGCCCCGTTGATTGGCCTGCTATGTCTGTGCCCCGTTGATTGGCCTGCTATGTCTGTGCCCCGTTGATTGGCCTGCTATGTCTGTGCCCATTCGATTGGCCTGCTAGGCCTGTGACCTTCTGATGAGCCTGCTATGTCTGTGCCCCGTTGATGGGCCTGCTACGTCTGTGACCATTCGATTGGCCTGCTAGCCCTGTGACCTTCTGATGGACCTGCTCTATCAGTTCCCTTGTTGGTTTGATCTATCGGTGCCAAAACCCCATTGGCTGCAGGCCTGGGGGAATATCACTGAGGAAAACCCAGTACCCACTATTGACATGGAGATAGGTGGGTGCCCAGGCAAGTACAACTGTCATATTATCCAAGAGGACACCAGTATAAGACCACCTGAGTATGGTGAGAAGGGTGAAGGCCCTAAAACCTCATGCCCGAAGTGCAAGGTTTTTATGAAGACCCGGGCACGCAACCACGGTTTACGCCAGCCCGGCGGAGGCACAGCCCCATGGAGAATTTCAGTCAGGCAGGGACCAGTACTCAGACCCCGACATGGGGACACGGTCTAACCTTGTCTTTAACAACTAACCCTCTAACTGCCTTCTGGTATCCATCTTAGATGATATTAGTTTTCCTGCATCAGGTTAGCTCCTGGTCCTGTTCAGTTGGACTTTCTTGACTGGTTTTTCCGGCCTACTATTTACCTTATCCGAGGTTTTACCCTTATTTACTTTTATTATTGTTTTGTTTTTCTTGCCTTCCTTTTTCCTATCGCTTATTTTGTCGAGGGGGCTGACTTAAGACCTCCCGGGCCCTCGTGGATTGCGGAGAACGTCTCCAGCTGTCCTCAGACTGCCGACAGTCTTCCTGGCGCACGGGATCCGGGCGGTCCGTTGGTAGACTGTCATTGTTTCCAAAGGTTGCTTTCTCTCATTGCCCATTTTTATTAGTTAAGATGGACACGGCCCGAGGTGGTAGACTACTCCATCTACCATCAGTGGATCCCATGTCTCAGGTGAGGGATTCAGAGAAAGGTTTTGTGGCCAGAGAGGGACCCTCCTCGAGATCCAAGTCCTACACTATTGTTATTAGATGGTGAATCCCGCAGGGTCACCCTGGGTCTGAGATGGACTCTAGTTTGGATTACTAGAGGGTGCGGCCCCCCATCTCCTCGACCTGAGACTGATACTTTATTTACACAATTTACTCTCATATACTGAACCGGACACTGCTTCATTATTAAAGGGCGTGGCCCTCCTTCAACCTCAGCCCGATACGGAGAGGGATACAGAGGACATACTTTGAGTGTGACACACTCTCATAGAAGGAAAAGGACGGTAGACTCTAACTTTTGCTATTAACGGGTACGGCCCACTCATGATATCAGCCGGATGCCAACACGAGTTCAGATACATTATTAGAGAGTGCAGCTCTCTCTCATACACTAAACACAGTACGGTGTAATCCATTTGTTCATCACACAGGCTTATACCGGTACAGGACAACGATGTCTGCATAGAGGGGTGTCCCTCCTGCTCTCAATCCAATATAGAGGTGCGTACCACATACCGTGTTCACCGCTGATGATTCGGCTCTGGTACATGGGTATAGTGCCTACAATGCTCCAGAACAACCGGGCAAGGGGAGAGAACCTCTCCTCTAGATCTACGACCGTGCTATCAAATTTGCTTTAGAGGTCTACCTGGATTCCTCTATTTTCACCTCCTATATTATCCTACTGGATCCGGCCACTGTATCCCGCGCAAGAAAGACTCACAGAGGTATTACTGGGAGTGATTTCCCGCTTGTTGGCACACATCCCGGAGTCCTTAGGGAACAGTATAGGGACAGTTTGGCTGACCAGCTTGGGTTCAGCCCTAGGATTGCTCCATTTTGTTGGTGCTCTATAACATTCCTTTGGATGTACTCCTGGAGACGGTACGGCTAAGGGTTGAGCCTCAGCTATTGCAGGTGTCGGTATAATCAGACTAGCAATTGCACTCAAATCAGGTTATGCAGACCATTGCAAACAAACTGCACAGACAGTTCTTTCCCATGTCAAGGTGTCATGAGAGCCTGAGGCTCTGCCTTGCTCTGGTAAAAAGACTAGGGAAGGCCCACAGCCCGGTCTGCAGCTACGCAGTACGCATGGTTTGCTTGGAAAGACCGGAGTCCTCGATCGACTAGTTTTCACTGGTCGTTAACAATCTTGGAATAAGATGATTGGACTACCTCCACTCCTCTGGGAACATTCTTGGAGGGCCTTCCTTCTATACCCTAAATCCCTCACGGGAACCGTATTGGTGTTTCCCGCTAACCCACCTATTCAGCTGTCAACAAGGAGACCTACTTGGACTCTATGGAGGAACGATGTGTGTCCTCTACTCTGGAGTATTACTCAGGATGGGTAACAGGCTCGAATATGGCTGCCGATGTCTCAAACCGGACAACACCTGCTGCGGACGATTGA